CACACACAGACACAAACGCGCGGGCTTACACGCAAACGCGCACAAACACACACACACAGACACACACACACACACGCACACACACGCGCACACGCATACACAAGCACAGAAGAACACACAAACACAAACTCAAAACCCAAACGCAGACAGACACACGCGCTCACACACACGCACAAACACAAACAAAAAACAAGCATACACACGCGCACACGCACACGCACACACACACACGCACACACACGCACACACACGCACCACAAAGGACAAACACAAACAAAACACACACACACACACACACACGCGCACGCACACGCACACGCACACACACACACACACACGCACACACACGCACACACACGCACCACAAAGGACAAACACAAACAAAACACACACACACACACACACACACACACACGCGCACGCACACAGACACACGCACGCACTCACAAACAAGCACACACACACACAAAAACACCCTCAAACACACACAAACACAGACACACCCACACACGTGCAAAGTTACAGACACGCGCGCGCACAAACACAAACACAAGCACAAACAAAGACACACACACACACACACTCGCACACACGCACACACAAGCACAACCACAAACAAAGCCACACACACACGCACACGCGCGCGCACGCAAACGCACAAACATGCGCACACACACACACAAACACAACAAAAAGGCACACACACACACACGCGCACGCAAACACTTGCGCACAAAAACACATTGAAATACGAACGCAAACGCGAACACAAACAAAGACACACACACACACACACACGCGCGCGCAAACGCCCACGCACACACACACACACGTACACACACACACACACGCACACACACACACAAACACGCGTAAACAAGCACAAACAAACACACACACAAACACAAACACAAAAAAACACAGACGCACACACACGCACGCACATGCGCACACACACACAAACGCACACACACAAACAAAGACACACAAACAAACACACACACACACACACACACACACACACGCGCGCACACGCACACGCGCACACACGCCAAAGCCAAGCACATAACCACCTGGAACCACAAACCAACAAACCCACACAACCCACACGAGCATACACACACAAACAAACCACACAGAGAAACCAAACACTCACACTAACAAATACAAAGACTCGCACATGCACACGCACACATGCAACCACCAACGCGCACAGAGACACACACACACGCGCGCACACGCACCCGCCCACACACAAGCAGACACACAAACACCTACACAAACACAGACTCACACACACAAACACAAACACAAACACAAACACAAACAAAGGCACACACACACACACGCGCACGCACACAGACACAACATCACACGCACACTCACATGCGCACGCACGCACACGCGCACGCAAAAACAAACAAAGACACACACACACACACTTAAACACGCAAACACACGCACAAGCATACGCACACACACACACCAAAACCAAACACATAACCACACAGAACCACCAACCGACAACCCGCGCACACACACACACATGCAAACCCACACGCGCATACACACAAACAAGCCCCACACACACCAAAAGCCAAACACCCAAACTAGCAAACACAAACACACGCCAATGAACACACACAAACAAAGAAACACACACACACAAATACACACACACACACAAGCACACACACAAACACATACAAACACAAACGCGCACACACACACACACAAACGCACACACAAACGCACACACACACACCAAAACACACACACAAAGACACACCCACAAATACAAACACAAACAAAGACACACACACACACACACGCACACGCGCACAAACACAGTCACAGTCGCAAACACAGACACAAAGACACACACACACACACAAACACGCACACGCACGCACACGCACGCACACACACACACACACACACACGCGCGCCCGGGCGTGCACACGCACACACACACACACCTACACACACACACACACCTGCGCACACACACACCTGCGCACACACACACAAACACACACAAACACAAACACAACCACAAACATACACAAATACGCGCACAGACGCAGACACAGTCACTGTCACAAAAAAGGACACAACACATGCGCACAGACGCAGACACACACACACAGACACGCCCGGGCGTGCACACACACACACACACACGCGCACACAAACACATACAAAGACACACAAACACAAACACACACACACAAACAAACACAACACAAACAAAGACACGCACTCACACACACACACACACACACACACACACACACGCACACACCAACAGACACAAACACACACAAATGCGCAAGCACACGCACACGCACACGCACAAAACACACACACACCAAAAGCAAACACATAACCACACAGAACGAAAACCCAAAAAAAAACCACACACACACACACACACATTCAAGCCCACACACACACACACATACACCCACAAACCAAACACACACAAAAACCAAACACTCAAACCAACAAACGCACAAACACACACACACACAAGCGCACAGTAATCTGCAATCTGGCCCAGCTCCAAAGCCAACTAGCCAAATTTGTGTGCATCGGGGGCACGAACTGGCCAATTTGCATGCTTTGCATTTCGCCTTGCAGAGGACAACAAAATGCCCGCAAACTATCCAATGACATTGCGTGCTACACAAGCACTCAGGCTCAGAACTTGAGAAGCAGGGAACGAAAGCTAGCGTGTGGCGTGTGGCAAGGTATCGGTTGTGCCTCTTGCAGGGCAATCTGGTCCTACAACATTAAAACTCCAAGGTCTGGGGAAGCTTGGCTTTTGCAGCCATGTAGCCCAAGTTAGCTTTTAAAAAAGCAAATGAAATAACCTGAGTTGTTTGCGAAGGGTGTCATACTTGCGCCAAGCGCAATCCAGAACCTGATCCAAAACCCGCAACCCATAATCTGCATCGAAAATCCACGCAACCCATAATCTGCAGCCCGCAAGCCGCATGAGCTAATCCGCACGATCCGCAACCCGCTAATCAACGCTGCGTCCAGTCAAAGACGGCCCTGGGATTAAGACTGAGCACATTGTTCATCTTATCTGTTGAGAAGCGTGCAGTGGGTAAAAGCTTCAGTGTTTGAACAGGTGTGTGAGGTCTCTTGAATCAAAGATGGCCCTGGGATTAAGAATGGGCAAAGCGCATTGTTCATCTTTGTCTCTTG